ATAGGAGGGACACCTGTTGTCTAATATATAATTTTAATTACCACTTCTGGTGAATACTAACCAAATACAAGCTATCCTCGATACGTGTTCTGGCAACCAAGTCGACATCATCTGGAAATGATTAAAACTGTTTTACAAATCTCCAGACAATGCCAACTCGGTAGAAAAAATGCGTATAAATTGCATTGTTTAACAATTGGGCGTTTATTGAAACAACTTCTGTCTTTGATAGAGAATATGGGTATGTACGTATGGCGATATGATGTTTCCAATAGCAGTAGACATATTTTGTGTTTCTATGAACTGATCGGTACTATAGCCTGGAGAAAGGGATGATATCGCAATAGACTCTTTTACCCGAGTTTTACCTATATTCGTTGAAATCCTTGTGAATTAAGACTGTAGGTGATACAATGCGCCATCTCTTGATGGAAAAATAAAGTTCAGAATGTGATATGTTCTGCGGCTTGCAGCACATTTGGCTTTCTCGAATAACTAGCAGCTAAATAAATCTGTCCACATTAGTAATTTAACCATCTTTACTCAGTATATATCTAATCACATTGATAAACTTGGACAGCTAGATGCGGTGTACATAGACTTCTCGAAAGCTTTTGACATAATTGATCATAACATATTATTAAACAAACTAAAAAGTTTTGGGTTTAGCAATTCTCTAATAATATTTTCTTCGTCATATTTAATAGACAGAGAACAATATGTTGCGTACAATGGTTATAGCTCGGCAGTCTCTCTAGCTACTTCTGGAGTTCCACATGGCTCTACTCTTTTTACTTTTTATTAATGATCTGTGCCATTAAATCAATTGCAATAAACTGTTTTTTGCTGGTGATCTCAACATATTTAATAATATCAGTTCTGAAGCTAACTGTGATTGTTTACAAGAGGACCTTAAAAACTTACAAAATTGGTGTATATTAACTAAACTTCATTTAAATGTTAGTAAATGCAAAATTTTATCTTTCACCAATAGGAAAATTACTTTTAATTATAATTATAGTATAAATGGTAGCATTTTATCCCAATACACAGATACCAAAGATTTAGGCATAATTTTTGATTATCAACTATCATTTAATAAACATATTAATTTAAAAATATCCAAAGCTATGAAAATGCTTGGTTTCATAATAAGAAATTCTAAGAGTTTTAATAACTTACAAGCCTTAAACACCTTAGATTATGCATATGTAAAATCCAAACTTGAATATGGTTCAATAATCTTGAATCCATGTTACAACGGCTACAAAAATGCTCTGGATAAAATTCAAAGGCAAGTTTTAAAATTCCTATGTTTTAAAATTGATGGTACCTGTCTGGTTAGAGGAATTAAGTACAATTTCCTCCTTGACGATTCAATTACAATGACTTGGAATTAAGAAGTAAATGTGTAGCTATATCATTTTTATATAAAGCGGTACACGGTGAAATTGACTGTCCTGAAATACTTGCGCAATTTCTGGTTCATACACTAGAATTCAGGCAAAATATCACATTCAAGAACTAATGTACAGTTGCAGTCGCCTATAACAAATATGTGTATCACCTATAACAAAATTAGTAATTTCTGTGATATAAATGTATGTACCAAAAAACAACTTTTAGATACAGCAGTGAAACACTTGTAAATGAGTTGATATTTGTTGTTTTTCTCTCTTAATTATTCATGTATTTTTTTTATCTTCATAACATAAATATTTGTGCATTGTGTGTTGAGAATTGTGTGTAAAAACTGTTACATTTTAAATCTTATATTTTTTATATTTCTATTTTTTTTTTGTATATTTTATGTATTCTCGTCTGTATATAAATACTAGATATTTTATGCTAACTTTAAATACTCTTCGCATATTTTAGTATATTTTATTATCATTAACTTTATATTTTATATATTATTTTCATATGACTATTATAAACTTGTCCTGTAATTGGGGTTAACCTGTTGGCCAAATAAAACTATAAAGCTTACGCGTTGTTATCGAGTCCTAGTTTTTCGTTTAAGGCATTGAGTTGTTCAGACCATTACATTGTCGATCTATGGTATTTTTGTAATAATCGTGTGAAATATCAATTGAATTGGAACTGATATTACAAAAATTACGTACAAATTGTTAGGGAATATTTTCTATTTAGAAGATTTTTGTGTATTTAGTGGTTCCTGCAATTGCCGTATTATAGGGATTCATCATCAGCTCAGAAAAAAACACGAGAACTAATCCTCAGACAAGTTTATGAAAAGTGAAAGGAGCCTTCTACTGGGTGTAGAAGTGAGTAACAATTTTTTTGTTTGCCTTTTTAGTTAAGTAATGGTTCCTTTCTTTATTTCAGGGCTTTTCTTTTCTTTTCTTTTCTTTTCTTTTCTTTTCTTTTCTTTTCTTTTCTTTTCTTTTCTTTTCTTTTCTTTTCTTTTATTTTCTTTTCTTTTCTTTTCTTTTCTTTTCTTTTCTTTTCTTTTCTTTTCTTTTCTTTTCTTTTCTTTTCTTTTGTATTTTCTTCTCTTTTCTTTTCTTTTCTTTTTTTCTCTTTCCTTATGTTCTAATTTTAATTCCTTAAACGGTTACCGTTTATGTTAACCTCAGTTATCCTGTATCGTACGGTGAATGAGAGCATCGCTCATCGATTTTTGGCAAACTGCATCATTAGTAACCCCTTTCAAGGAAGTTTGCCTTGAACCTTGTGGAAGACTTACCTGGCATATGTTTTACATCTTTGTCGACCAGATTATTGTTGTTTCATCCCTACAATCCCTCCATGTGGCATTCTGGGGTCATAACATCCATTTGTATTGTGAAAACTACCCTCTACGTTTCAAGAATATAGCTAAGTGCCACATGTAATATAGATATATTTTTTTTGCAATTAGTAATATATTATAAGAGTAATATAGTAGCCACTATTTATTTATAAGAAAAATTTACTATTTAACTGTTTAAATATTTAGGGTGGCATTACTTACAATATATTATATAAGAATATTTTATTTATATTTTACTTATATACAAGTTCCATTAACGTTATAATTTGAATATCTCTGCGGGGCCATATGTTTTTGGTTATTTGCGAATATTTTTGATTTTTAAGTGTCAACCTATAATTTGTACGAAATTGTTTATAACTGCCTGTACCGACGAAAGTGATCACATTCACCTACAGAATCTTTTATGTGTATATATTTTATTGGGATTTATATATTTATATCAGAGTTGGGTTCGATAACCCTTTCCGTTATCAAATAAGTATATAATTTTTCTTATTTTTGTTGATGATTTTTAAGAATCATAATTCGCAAATTAATTATTATAAAAGATAGTTATCTAATTCTCTTGTTTTAATATGTTTACCACTTAATATCTCCCCAGTACAATTAATTATTCAGAGAACCACCCCTCTTATCCACTCCCCCACCGACTAGTTGGCCGGAGTGCGTGGCTACCATTTTTTTTGTTGCTGGCAGCCTATTACGTATGAAAATTTTACATATTCTTATATAAAGGTGGAAATTCACTTTCACTTTATGCACTATTTTTTTATTTAAAATATAGGTAATATATATTTTTATGATTTCACATTAGGCCAATAGCCGGGCTAACAAATCTCAAATTGCTCTGGTAGTAATTTACTCTTGCATCAGTGTTAAACTTAATAAGTTTAAATTATTTCTTCAATAAAAAACAGAAAAAACTTTATTTCCTATTTTTTTTAACACGCTTTTATTAGCTTCACCTCCATGTTTGTGTTTGTTTGTTTGTAACCGACACTTCGGACTCGATTTTGACCCACTTTAAACGGACAGATTTAATTGAAACTTTGTACACTTACGAAGAACCGGTAACAATACAATAATTTGATAAGTTTATATCATTATCCTGATCAGGATCGCCAGAATTAAATAATTTCCTCACGTATCCTCTGCGTGAGAGCAAGTGGCTTATTACTGTTAGTACATTCGGTGATTCTCAGTTCGTTCGTTGGCCGAGCGGGCTAAGGCGCAAGTCTTAGTCGACTAGAAATGACGGACTCCTCGGGCGTGAGTTCAAATCCCGTCTATGGCTGAAAAAAATATATTTTTTTTTCAGAAGTATCTGTTGGATCGTAATATGTTATAATATCAGCATCAATAAGCAATATAAATATAGTTTAAAAAAACTAAAAAACACGCTTTCATAGCACATCAAACTAAAAAGTGAAAAATAAATATAGTTTAAAGAAACTAAAAAACACGCTTTTAAATCACATCAAACTAAAAAGTGAAAAATAATTATTAATATAAACTGAAAACAATAATGAACGAAAAATACCAGTATTATTGTGAAAAAGGCGTGGGGCGCTTTGTGCCATATTTTTCGTATATCGAGCAACCCACGCTTTTTTCACAATAATACTAGTATTTTTCGTTCATTATTGTTTTCAGTTTATATTAATTAATTTTTCACTTTTTTAGTTTGATGTGCTTTAAAAGCGTGTTTTTTAGTTTTTTTAAACTATATTTATTATTTTCTAGAGGACTTCCAGCCAGGTACGTGAACAATTTATTCTACGTTTCGTCTGAGTTTTCGGAACTCGGACGAAACGTAGAATAAATTGTTCATGTACCTGGCTGGAAGTCCTCTAGAAATAAAAATAGGAAATAAAGTTTTTTCTGTTTTTTATTGAAGAAATAATTTCTACTTTAACAGCCAACAACTTGTGTAAAATATCATCTTTAATAAGTTTACCTGCTCAGTGGAATTGACTAGCATTCTTTCTTTCGTAACTGCGGGTTCGAATCTTACCACTGGCACTGGAAATGTTGGTTTTAATAACTGTGTGTTCACGTTTTTTCATCCGTGTAACTTTCACTAGTGCAGCTTCGGCTTTGGATTCGAGAGATGTCTAAATTCTGTGGTGCTTATTTATATATTTAAGTGTATCTCCATTAAGGGACATTACCGGATTTATGTTCATAGAAACACTATTTCTTATTTTTAATAATTATTTGTGGTTTCGTGGTCGAGTAGTAAGATCACTTGCCTCTCAACCTAGAGTCCCAAGTTCGATTCCCGGAAGAGGAGCCAGCATTTTTTCTAAACTAGAAATTAATCCTAGCATACTCGGACATTGGGTGTGTACCCATTTTCTCTAAATGTGTAGCCCTCTCCCACTCACGTTACCTTGAGGTACCTCAGGGATATAGGCGGTTGTATTATCCGTGGTGTTCAATTTTATTTTTATTTTTAAATTATCAGCTTTCTGGACGCTGCCCTTGCACTCATCTCTAGGAAAACTTGCTTCCATGATTCAAATACTGACTACAGCACTAGCATAAGATGCCTTGCTGGTCGCGGTGGAGGTTGCGCTTGCGGTTACGGCCTCAGTCGAGGTTGACATCGATGATGATTGTACATACCATATAGGTTTATCCTATTTGTGTTCCGTGCTGGTTCTATAATGTATGACGAAGCGCCTGACTGAAAGGGTGTCAAGTGATCTGAGTGAACCAATCATGTGCAAGCTACCATGATGCCTTCTTTTCTACAGCGATGTAATAACGAATTTTTTGTATCGCATTAGACCTCTATGTAAACCGGGAAGGTGAAGTGCTGCTAGCATCCCCGGTATGTGCGATCACATTTAAAGGAGAAGGTTTGCTTTACATAAAGGTGAGTTGGATGTAGCGACCGCGATCGCAACTTTCACCCCAAGTAGCGAAACTTCTTCGGCATGTACGTATCCTTTTGCGATATTTTTAACAGCTGATTTATTTATTCCAGTATCAATATAAAAAATCCGATAGTGCCTGGTTAAATAACTATCACTGGAAGAGGCTCACCTTGAGAAGAAGGAAATATTTATGACGTAACATTTTTAAGAAACGTAAGTAACTTTTTTAAGAAAGCAAATTAGCTATCAAGATAACACGTCGGGGACGGAGAGAATTAAAGGAAAAACGTAATTTTCGTCAGTCATTAATATTAAATAATATGTTTTGCAGTATAATATCTGATGATTTAACGCTTGCAAACGACCGCGGCTGATCAATATTCACTGTAAAAACATTAAGTAAAAACCAAGCTAATGATTATATTGATCGGTTTTAATATTGTGCAGAATCACGAACAAAGTATCTATCTTGAATAGAACAAGAGTGATTCAGCATTTTGTAGTTGTTATAAAACCATTTGCCAAATCGAATATCAAAAACTAGAATGGAGAACAGGGAATTCACTGATAACAATCCAATATAGCCACGTTCCACGATTTCATTTGTATGCTTTCTTTCATTTTATAAATATTTTGCGAGAATAAAATTCAATATCTTTAGGTGATTATTTATTAAGTATTATGATTTCCGTCTTGTTGTAAGTAAAGTTTAACCTTCTGTATTATTAGGAACTGAAATTGGTTATATAAAAATATTTGTTTACGTGTATTGTGTCTGTAAATATTGCCAAAAAGAAAAGAAAAGAATCTCAAAATTATTTAATAGAAATTGCAGACTTTAGGTTACATGACAGGGATGTACTTAACAGTTTTACCTTATAATTTATACATATTTTTTTCTTTCCTTGACCGTTAATATCAAATAATATCTGATATAGTTTTTTGGGGACTTCGGTCAGATATAACTAATCAAATCACATATAACAATCAAATAACACCAAATATGTAACAAAATTTAAAGCAAACACCTATCAGATGTAACTTATAATTTATATAACATTAATTGGACATATGACTATGTATAGATTCACTTGCAACTTATTGATGGCAAAGCCTTTTACATTCACTGAATGTGCAAACAGGGGAGAAAAGTACAACCAATGTATTGTTTCATTTTGTTTTTTGTTTTTACTTAATTTTATTAGCTGTAAAATTCAATAACATAGTGTTATAATAAAACACATTTATAATATCGGTAAGCTTTGTAATTTGTATTATGGAACATTCATTTCCAAATAGCGGGACGAACAGTATGTGCTAATTTAGATAAATAAAAAAATATGACTAATGCCGAATTTACACGGGTATAGTAGCTAAAGCAAGTAACTAAAGCAAGTAACTTTTTAGCTGCTTGCATCGTGTGAACGTTGAATTTAGTATTTAGTATAGTAATATTTAGTGGAGAATTTAGTACACATTTTAGGCAGGTAGAATAGATCGGGTTCCTATTTACTGGAGCAAGTCTGTCCCCCACCCCGTGTCGTGTTTACTAAATACGGGCACTAAACACGTGTAGATAGATCAGTTTAGTACAGTGTACTTGTATAGTTTAGTAGTTGTGAGCTTGCGACTTTAATAATATAAGAAATGGCATCTCTGTCTCGTTGGAACGAGGATACCATACTGAAATTTGTTCAGGAATATCGAGCAAGAGAATGTCTGTGGAACACGAAGGCTGATATTTACAAAAACAGGAATGCCCGCCACGCAGCTTATGAAGAAATACAACAAATAATGGGAATAGAGGGGGTTTGGAGTTGCAGAAATAAAAAACAAAGTTAAGGAACTCCGTTCAACTTATTCGCAGGAATTGAAGAAAATCAATTTTACTGCTAATCGGATACGTGCCCGTTCAATGGATGCCATTTTAATTTAGAAACATTTAGTCCACTAAACATATTGCTAAAACGTGTATAGACACACTAAATTATAATTCACTAAAATTTAGTTACTTGCTTTAGTTACTTGTTTTAGCTACTATACCCGTGTAAATTCGGCATAAGGCTCGAGGCCCGTAAAGGAGTAGGTTACCTATTAACCTAGGGTGAGGAGAGACGAAAGGGAAATGTAACGCGTCATAGTGTATGCTGTGTCGTGAATCATACATTTGTTGTGTTCATTTTATAATTGTTTTGTGTGGTTATCTACTATTATTTTGATATTTTGCTTATAATTATTATTAGTTATGTTATATTATATTGTTATGGACCTCTTTTTATAGTTTTACGTACTTTTTTTGACATTTTAAGTGACATTTGGATTTTTATATAAAGGACAATATTTGGTTTAAATTATATTTTGAGAAAGTATGTACAATAAGATGAAGTATATTTATTTTGAGGAGAAGAAACAACCAGTTAATAATAAATATGTAATTGTTTTAAGTTGACTGGAACTATATGCAGTGTTGCTATTTGTTAGAGTAATGCTGAGAGGGCCAAAAAGAATTGAGAAAAAAATATAATTTTTCTCGTTTCCTACTGACATTTTAATAATTAGAAGAGAGTGGATTAGAAAATGTTAAAGAAAAGAAAAATTTAACCCCGATAATGACTTTGCAATAAACATGTTACAATTGATGATATTGAAGATGGAATGAAATCAAAATTGATGAATGTATTGCCTAAAAAACTAAAAGAAAACTGGTAGGCAATATAAAATTTATCTACTGAAAAATAATTTGTGACTAATTTTATTATGTTTTAGCTATTCCATCACTTAATTTGTTGCCTGAAACTTTATGTAATTAAACATTTTTGATTTGTGCGGTTATGTGCTACATCCGGTTAAAACAAAACAAAGTGAGTATTATTTGTAAATAAATAAAGAAATAAACTGAATTGAAATTGTCAACATTGAGTAGTTTTTATTGTTCTGCAAATTTCTATTTGTTGAGGACTTATTTAGTTCAATTTTATATAGCTTTATTTATTCTGTGTTTCTTATATTTTTTGTCGGTTTCCCACTGTTCAAGTGGAAAAAAACGTTTACGTCTCCTCATAATCGATTGTTACTTCAGGGTTTTCACTAAATATCACTCTTCAACACGTTCTTTTTTATTTTCACTTTAATTTAGGATCTCTTAGGAGACAAATACTCAGGATTCTCAGGATACAAATATTTACACTGATAATCTTAAAACCAATGGTATCCTTGTAATAAAAAAATTATCTAAAGAGCAAGTTATAGCAAGTATTCGGCGATTAAAACCAATGATGACTATGTGCTCTGAAAACATACCTGCTTTTATTATGGGAGACTGTGTCTTAGCTCTTGCTCACCCACTAATTATTATATTTAATTTAAGGTTAAAAACGTGTTAAATTTTAAGCATATGAAAAATTTCAGGACTGTTCTGCTTTTAAAAAAGTGGGTTAAGGATGGTATTTGCAACTATTGCCCTATTGGCATTTTACGAAAACATAATTGATTTAACGTAGTTAGGTTAATCCCATATGAGTAATTATTCATGATAAAGCAAACAGAAAAATTCTCATAAAATTCCTTTTATTAATGTGACCGGTTTCGTGAACAAGTAATTACTTCACATCTTCAGACACAGGACTACAATAGAAAATGAGTATGGTGGTTACATACATACATAAATATAAATGTTAATAAGTTAATAAAACTTAAAAAACAGGAATACAGAAGACAATTATTTCATTTTTTACTAGTAAAAACTTATTGGTAAAAAATGTTTGATAAAATTTTGTACAAGAAAGATTGAAATTATTTAAAATAATAAGGATTACGTTAGTTTAAAATTATAATTGTAACGAAATTGCAAGCCATTTCATTCCAGTTTGTTATTGTTCCATGATGAATTAAGTTTCTGCCAGTCTAGTCGAGATGGTGCCACTGATTTCTATTGGAACAGTGGGTTTGGCAGATTTTTGCACTAAATATCTATCTATCTTTATTGCTCATACTCGACTCTCAAATGTCTGTCTCTTTCCAAACTATAATCGAGTTTAGGTAGCAGAATACTTCGATGCTACTTTCTTCTTACTAGGGCAGCCAGAGACAGTGGTTATCTCTGGTTCCGCGTTCTGATGGAAACCATCCCTAGTTCTGCGGTCTGGTAAGATTTATATGTTATCTGGTATTATCTTGTGATTTTATGCTCATCATTATTTAAAAAGTTGCTATATTGATTTAAAGTACCTTTGAGGTAATTTTCATAATAATATTGTACCGTAATTATCTTAATTGGTTCTTTGGAACAGCCATCATTGATATTGATTAGTATCAATTTATCGTGCCTTGCTGGCAATTTATCTAATATCCCTTTGATATTGTAATAATTTCGTGTGTTAATTTAAACTAACTTTCGGTTATTGTAAATTTTAGA